GTTATTTATAAAAAAAATTAATGAATAATAATTCAAAGAGAACTTTTCCAATGATTGCATTAATACCACTGTTTTATTAACATCATTATCAAACTGAAAAATGTTCATAGTTCTCCTATTCATATCAATCGCAATATCAATCGACTCAGTTTCCGGGAAACTTGATGTATTTATATTTCCAATATTTGCTTAATTGAATTTTTTGCTGTCAAAATATCTTTTACAGCAAAGCCTTTATCGAAGTTTGTTCAGGTATCAATATATTCTAAGATGCAAATAAATATCGCAAAAAGTTTATATTTTCCTCAATTTTGTGACTAATTTAATCATCAAAAACATACATAGACTATTTAAACGCTTCATTTTGCGAATACAACTATTATTTACAATTTAACTGCACACTGATGAGTTAGAGAAATATAACTTTCACAAATTATTCCAATATATAATAATTTCAAAGATATATTTGTTATCTTATTTTAATGAAATTTCAATAATATCATATAGGTAACAATATCAAACCTAGTTTTTAAAAATATTTACAATTTTTATAAGTTATAATATACTCTAAATGATTGGAATGGTATTACGAAATTTTGCAAGAACCCACACTTTGCTTTCGCGGATTTCAAAAAAATTGTATAGTTTCGACGGATTGAATCAGGATTGGAAGAATTAGAAGTTTGGAACGGTATGCAAAAATTCAACTGGAAACCGTCTTGAAATCTTTTCATACTGAACTGTATATATGTTTGAAATCGAATGTTTGAAATCGAATATAGTTTTATATAACGAAGATATAAACATAAAATAAGTTTTCCGATATGTTTAGTTTCATGAATCAATAAACAGCAGAAGTCCAGTGACTGTTGGCCATTAAAAACCACACATACATAATCTGAAGCCTTTTTTTTGAAATCAGTGGTGGTTCTTCAAATTCCCGTGAAAAATCTGAATATATGAGATATTTGATACATATTAGAGTGTTCATAGACGTTTCAAGTAGCTCAATAATAAATTGCACCTGCGTAATTTCTCAATAATATCTAAAAACTATATATGTCTAGGGATATTCGCTTACACAATTTACTTTTCATTTGTTATTAACTGTTTGGATTTGGAATTGGATATGCAAGTTGAGCTCCTGATATGTCGTCTCTAGAAAGAGTTCAACAAAATTATACTTATCTACTAGATTAACATTTTATTGACTAAGACATATGACAAATATGTTGCTTTTAGAACCATGTGTTCATAATTATGTTTTAATGTTCACCTTTCAAAAACCATTCAAACGCATGTCAAACAATATCACAATGATGAGTAAAAAAACTTGCTATAGTATATTATCTGACTGAGATCCATAAGTAAAAGCAATGGACTGCTTCCATTTGAAAACACAATTTTCATTGACACCATTTTGTTGAAACAGTTTCCATTGAAGGTACATTAATGAGAAAGATTATTTGAAATCAAGTCATCTACTTATTACTGAGAGAGGCAGCAACTTTAACTGTGCAATAAATAATACATTCTTCTGAAACAGAACATTATTGAGTTAATTTGGTATGAACTTGTGGTATACATTCTTTAGGTCCACATTATCTGAAGACACCGTCAGAAGGGAAAACATTTGTTAACATAACATCAAAATATAAATTTTTTCATCCCATGGGCAAATATAGGTATACTTCTGTTATTGTATTGAATTAATTCAAACGTTTTAATCTATCTCTTCTCAAGTTTTTGCGCGGGAAACCTCCTATGAGCTGATAACGTACTACTTAGAACAGTGAATTCTGGGGATATTCAGTTTTAAAATAATAACCAAAATACCTAAGTAGACATAGGTATTTGTGCGTTCTGAAAACTGTCTATTTGATTGTTTTTGTGTCTAATTACTTAATCTCGGGATGGGTAATGTTATACGTTAGTTCTTTGAAAGACATTTTTGTGGAGGACTTTATACTTCTCACTGTTTTTTGGGTGTATAACCTTCCACAATCTGAAAAATAAACGAAGCAAAACCAATAGAGAATCTGCTGAAGTGTAGTGAAGGGTGATCTGAAAAGTTTACCCCAAGAAGTTACTGCATAAAATAAACTTGTGAAAAGTCCAATTAGTTAGTAAAAAATACAAGTAAAAATAGAAAGATTGAAACAAAAAATGAAAATATAGAAATAAAAATGAGAAAGAAAAATAAAAAGTTGAGAGATCCAAGCCACGTTAGTTCACGACGTTTCGATTGTCAGTATCTACAATCGTCTTCGGGTGGTGACTGGACTGATTTCTCCGAGAGATGATTATTTAAAGGTCGTTCGAGTACTTTCACTTATCCCCGCTTTCCATTTTTTCCGCTTCACTGGTTCAGTGGGAGATGACCGTTTGGCGGGAGTTGGCCATTTTTCGCTTGATGATGGGTTTCCATATGTTGTGTATCTCTACGCTAGCTCGGTTGAATACGTTGTTGGACAATATGTATGCGGCTTCCTTGAATTTTCTCCTAAACCAATGTTCCTCTCTGTGTAGGAGCTTGGGACCACTCGATGTTGTGTTGATGGGTCCAAACATGGTCTACAACACAACATCGAGTGATCCCAAGCTGAGATCATACACAGAGAGGAACATAGGTTTAGGAGAAAATTCAAGGAAGCCGCATACATGTTGTCCAACAACGTATTCAGCCAAGCTGGCGTACAGATACGCAACATATGGAAACCCATCATCAAGCGTAAAATGGCCAACTCCCGCCAAACGGTCATCTCCCACTGAACCAGTGAAGCGGAAAAATGGAAAGCGGGGATAAGTGAAAGTACTCGAACGACCCATAAATAGTCATCTCTCGGAGGAATCAGTCTAGTCACCACCCGAAGACGATTGTAGATACTAGCAATCGAACTCGTCGTGAACTAACGTGGCTTGGAATCTCTTAACTTTTTATTTTTCATTTTCATTTCTATATTTTTATTTTTTGTTTCAATCGTTCCATTTTTACTTGTATTTTATTTCACTATTATTTCATTTCAGGTTATTTTTGCTTAATATAATTGTTATTTTTAACTATTCATTTTTAATTCTTAGTTTTCAGTTGTTTCAGGGTATTTCAAATAATTTTATATATCAGACAATGGAAATCCGAACTAGTGAAATTCATCATGAAACATTGTCAATCACCTTCAAACAAATACAAGTCATTGACTAATAGGACTCTTCAGTGATTTATATTACGCTGTAACTTTTCGAGTTGTACGTTACAATTGATTAAGCTTCGTTCATTTTTCAAAATGTAAAATGTTATATAATCAAAAAAATAGTAAAAAAATATATGTATATTCATCTAGTCGATGTAGTCGTATTCTCATTCTTAGTTTATAATAAGGAAGGTAATGTGGTAAAGTAAGGTAACGTAGTTAAATTATTAAGATAACATACTCCGTAATTGAAGTTACTTCAGTAGAAAAATGTTTTAAGTTTGTAATTCAATTCAATTCAACTTTTAGCGTTGATATATTACTTCTAACCTATTCGGTGGAGCCATTCTACGGCCCTCGAAATTTTTATCCGACAAAAAACAATCACCAAAAAAACCTATTCGAACTCTTCATTTATATATCGTAATAATTTATTTATTCGATAAAACCGTTATCATTAGGTTGTCAATTACGAAAATTATATTTCTCTTTACAGTGCCCGTAAGAGGAAATGCCATCGCCCCTATTTACTCAGTGCATTTGTGGTTCAGCTTAGTACCACTGACGAGACCTATGGCGGGTCGAAACAGCGCTGTCTGGTGTTGAATCTCGTCGGCGGTCGATGTCGACGGTTGGCTTTGCAACTGACCGCCTTGGGGATCCTCGTTTATCGTTGATAGAGAATTCAGTTATTAGTCGATTCCGTTTTCGTAAGTGGAGATATCATTGCCCTCTTGTGAGATTTAATACTTACCTTGCCACCCTACACTTTTCATTATTATAAACTAAGGAGGAATACCAATACTACAATAACTTGTGATCCACTGTTTGGAACCTTTGGTGTAGTAATGAATATTACTGGAGTTTTTTTCCTAACACCAAACAGTTATTTTAACACCTCGACATGTGTTTCGATCATCAAGTGATCAAGGAAGATCAAACGGATCTTCCTCTTCAGTAATATTCACTACAATAACTACTGATTATTGATTGATTATTCCGGTAACATTTAGTATTTCAGGTACCTATTATAGGTACCTAACCTTATCAGTGTATATGTATTCAAGTACTTGTCTAGTTATTGTAGTAGTTACTTGAATAATAAACTAAGTAGAACTCAGACAAAAGTTACTGGAAAAAAAATATGAACAATTTACTAATTCAAGGGTATTTCTCAAATGGTTTAACAAAAAATTAAGTTGAATTGAGACCGGAATAATTAATTACTTTCCAAAGAAATGAACAATACATGTCTTCAAAATACTCAGCATTTCATCAGAATTTAATGTATTTTTTCTGTAGTATAACTCATGTTAGGGAGTCAGTAGCCTCAGGGGATGATTCTAATATCATATTTTCTTCAAATTCTAAGTTTTCAGAAATAAATAGTATTATACTGGCAAATCACAAGTATATAATTGGCGAATAAGTTCATTCATCGATTTCTATTGCGCATTGACTGACGGCTTCAGTAACTGTTCCATTTAAACAATACTTAATAACCATTGGTTGTGAATATGTATTACATATTCCGGAATGAATTAATTCGCCTAATACAACTGGCAGTGTTAATGTCAATATTTATGTTCTAATTAGTACGTCAACAATTTTTATTCATCATTTGCAGAGAGCTATCAAAATTTTGGAAATTTTTGCATTGAGTACACCATCTACCGAGCCATCCTGATGAACCAATTGAACAAAGGATAGAACGGACAAACATTATCAATAACTAAAAACTGGCATAAAATGCAATGAATTCACTTTCGACGGTTTTGCATGATCTCCCTATCTCAAACACAACCGTACCTATTCCATTGTGTTGTATTGGACATTTTTGACCTTGAAGTACCTAAAAATCCCGTACCCAGTAATGGTAGCCAAAACAGCAATGGCCAAAGTAGATCCCACTGCTATCGGAGCAGTTTCATCTCTGAAGGCCAATTGGGGCTTACATTCGAATGCTGGTTCAAAGTCCTCACCCTTGTACATGAACGGTTGCACCTGGAGTAACCTGAAGAAGAGAGTTCCATGGACTCCCGGAGGGGGATCATCTTCCTCATCGGTGGTGAGCTCCACTTCAACTTCTTTGCATGAGTGCGACTTACCCACTGGCGTTGGGATCAACATGTGGCGGTGGTAGAGTTTGATAGGCGCTTTTTCTATAATAGGAAGAGGATGAGCAACAGTAATACAGAACGGTAGATCGGAAACAGTGAGTATTTTATTCAGAATACTATTTATGGTGGCTCTTTAGGAACTGTGTTAATAGATAGGATAAGCATAAATAGAAAAATTATTAAAATCTGACAGTGCGAGAAATACATTGGAAACAATTTTGCTGAAATAGTTGAAATAGATTTAGATGTCGTTTTTTTTAGGGAACACCCTTAATATTATTACAAATTTATATTCTATATCACTTTGTAGATCTATTCTATGTAACTTCCATATTATCTATGGTTTTACACGCGCTTTGTTTGTTTGTTGCTGGTTCTCGGAGTGTATTTGAGAACCCTCCTGATGACCAACAAATTTAAAACACTTTTCATTCCAAAAAAAACTAGTTTCAACATAGCAAGAATGAGAAAAATGTTTAAAAAAATTAAGAATCGTCCGATCGGTATCAACTACTTTGTTGCTGATACTCAAGGTATATTTGAGTATGCTCCTGGTGAGCAACAAATTCAGAATACTATGTATTCCAGAAAAGACCGGTTTCAAGATAGCAAGAACAGAGACAATTTTAAAAAATATTAAAAATCGGCCGATCAAGACCAACTATTTTGTTGCTGGTTCTCGGTGTGTATTTGAGTACCCTCCTGATGAGCAACAAATTCAAAACACTTTTCATTCCAAGGAAAATCAGTTTCAAAATAGCAAAAATGAGGAAAATGAAAAAAAATAAATAAAAATCGGTCGATCGGTTTCAACTTTTTTGTGGCTGATACTCAAGTTGTATTCGAGTATACCCCTGTTGAGCAACAAATTTAAAACACTTTTTATTTTAAGGAAAACCAGTTTCAAGGTTCAGTTTCAGTTTCAAGCAAGAACGAGGAAAATGAAAAATATTTTGAAAATCGGCCGATCAAGGCCAACTATTTTGTTGCTGATTCTCGGAATGAATTTGAGTACCTTTCTGATGAGCAACAAATTTAAAACACTTTTCCTTTCCAGGAAAACCAGTTTCAAGATAGCAAGAACGAGGAAAATGAAAAAAATTTTGAAAATCGGCCGATCAAGGCCAACTATTTTGTTGCTGATTCTCGGAGTGAATTTGAGTACCTTTCTGATGAGCAACAAATTTAAAACACTTTTCCTTTCCAAGAAAACCAGTTTCAAGATAGCAAGAACGAGGAAAATGAAAAAAATTTTGAAAATCGGCCGATCAAGGCCAACTATTTTGTTGCTGATTCTCGAAGTGAATTTGAGTACCTTTCTGATGAGCAACAAATTTAAAAAATTTAAATCGGCCGATCGGTTTCAACTATTTTGTTGCTGATACTCAAGGTGTATTTGAATTTACTCTTGGTGAGCAACAAATTTAGAACATCTTTAATTCCAGGAAAAACCAGTTTCAAGATAAAATTATTTAAATTTTTTTCGCTATATCCAAGGTTTAGCAACTAAATAGTAACTAAATCTTCTGGTAAGACCAAAGGGAAAGTATTTAATTTATTGAGTTACCTTGCTACCTTTATTTCACGATAGCATTATTTGCGATTTCTAGGGATCGGCACGAGTAACAAAATCGTTGTTTTGGGAACTAATTAGCAACTATTTAGCTACAAATTGATGTATTTTTTGCAATTTTGCTAGATTCGCCATACTAGCCTGATAGGGCTCTTTTTATAATCATTAGAAATGATGTATCTACTGCGATTCAAGTCACTCAGATGCACCAAGCAAGCTTCGTGTTGCGCTAGAGTAACATGTCCCAGAAGTAAATTCCAAAACTAAGTCATGGAATGACTCGGGAAATTAAAGCTATTTTCCAAGATAGAGAAGACAACACTCGATAATAAAAAAAGTTTATTGTTTTTTTTTCAACCGTTCGCTAATGTTATCGTTTAATTGTTAACTTTTCTACAATAACTGAAGAAAATGTAGAAGAAACGCACTGCTTTATTAAAAAATTCATAAATTTTAAACGAATTGTGATATAAAAATAAATGAAAAAGCAATCTATAGGGAATGAACCAAGCCTGCATACAGGATAATTTTGAGTGCGTCCGAAAGCTGTATAAAAGGTGTCTTAAACCTAAATGTTAGAAACATAATTTTGTTTTCCCCACTATAATGTCTATAAATCGAGCTTCATTAGGCAATTTGTTAATGTGAATCAGTCTGATATATACTTATGATGCACTGTTTGGAACCTTTGGTGTAGTAATGAATATTACTGGAGTTTTTTCCCTACACCAAATCGTTATTTTTAACACCTCGACACGTGTTTCGATCACCAAGTGATCATCTTCAAAGAGGAAGATTAAAACTCTTCCTCTTTTTTCTTCCTCTTTAAAGATGATCACTTGGTGATCAAAGGAACCCTTCCTCTTTCTTCTTCCTCTTTGAAGATGATCACTTGGTGATCGAAACACGTGTCGAGGTGTTGAAAATAACGATTTGGTGTTGGGAAAAAACTCCAGTAATATTCAATCTGATATAGATTTCCAGATAGGGTAATGTCAAAATTATCGTGTAAGATACCTTTTCAATAAATGATACTTTTGACGAATCAATATTATAATGATTTGACTCTTTTCAGGTCACAGGTCGAACTGTTTTTAGAACAAAGCTGTTCAACAATTTTTTCAGGTCTGAAATCACTACCAAAATAATTATTTGTAGGTTGATAGTATTTTCTGTCTGAGAAATATAAGTATTTGAGCTTATATGATTATTATAAGAAACTAAGTAAGCCATTCACTTACTCCCAGTTGGACTAATCCCATGAAACTTAGGAATATCCGGACTGACAATGACGAGCAAATCTCTTATGTACCATCTCTCACCACCTGGAGTCTGCAAAAAAAATGTATCAATCAATACAGTGCGTAAGATGCTTATTTAAATTACATTTATTCTGATTAACCAATTAGAACGTACTGTTTATTGTTTTCGAGTAGGTATTAAACAGAATTAATGAACGTTTCATATGTATTTACGAAAAGTGAAATCATTACTTCGAAATGTGTTTTCCATCCAGTCCAATTATTGAAAGCGATACCGTATTATTTTGCCAAACAGCACCAATTTGCACAAAAATTTTGATTCAGTTTCTACTTATCCCTACTTCAAAGTTGACCCTATACCGGCAGTTGCTTCAACTTAGGGAATGGATGCCACCCCTTCTCGGGGGTGACAAACATTTGATTGAAAATAAGGATTTTTTTCAATCAATACGTTTCGTCCCATTCGCAGGTGAAAGTGTCAATTTTCAACTAGGTTTTTTTTGGGTCAGGTGAATGTGTCAATTTTGCAACTAATAAACCCACGTTTTCAGACGGTTTTTCGCGAATAAATTTAGGTAGTATATTAAAGACGAAAAGAATGGTGAATTTACAGTCCCTGCAAACCCAATACAAACAGAGTAGTAGCTTATTGAAGGTTGGTTCTCATTCGTTGAATGCCGAAATTAAAAGTTCCAACGTGAAGTAAACAGTTAATACATTTTTCGTAGGAAACTTTTCTGAAGTGCTTATTGTATGATTTTCACTATAAGGGTTTTACAAAAACCGCGACACGTGTTTCGCTATACAATAGCTTCTTCAAACATAAACTGAGAGTTACTTCTAAATTACACCATTTTATACTATAACCTAGTACCTATTCGTCTACCTGAATAATTAATCTACCTGAAAAGGTCAGGTATACCTGAAAGTACACCTGTAAATATATCTAACTATTTTTACCTGCGAATGAACAGATTCAATAATGGCGAATTATTCAATTCAGTTTGATCGTTCGTAAGACGGTGAGAGTTTTTGATTTTGTTCATTTCCATACTCTGCAACAGATTAACTTTCAAACATTTCTTCTGGAAATGGAGGGGTTTGTATTCATGGTTGAACTCGTATCCCTCTGAGATTAAATGACTGGCATATGTGGAATTTATTTTTCCATTCTGAAAACTATATTTGTGTTCCTTTAAGCGGGTTTTGAACGTTCTTCCAGTTTGACCTATATAAAACATCGGACATGACCCACACGATAATTTAATTTAATTTTA